TTGCCGTAAGTATGTAAATTTTTAATAAGGGACAGTAAATTGAACATTTTCGTGACAATGACCAATTGGTGATTTTATTAAGTACTTGTATTATATTACTGTCATAACATAAGGTATTGCGTTTCAGGTGTAGTAAAATGAGGAATAATAAAATCGTTTAAAAATTTGTACGTGATATTAACAAAGAGTAAAGTGTTTACGATTTGCTGGAAAATGTATAAATTAAGAGCAAATCCGAGTAGATGCCTGATAAGTAAATCATCAATAATGGTTAACCTAACACTTGCTGCCTTGGTGGTGTGTTCTGCTTTTGTTGTGGTCGTATCTGATGCAAAGCCTATATTTTTCGTGAGTATTTTTTGTTTATTTTATATTTTTATCAACATATCGCGACCTGAGAATTAGATTGTTCTATCTGCCAAAATTTAAAGAGGAACAAATAGCAGTTTAAAGTTTAATTTATATACAAATGAAATTTTAAAAAGCTGTTTTTCCGTGTTTAGATTTTGGGAGATTCTATCTTTCAAAAATCTGACACGGAAAAACAGCTTTTTAAAATTTCATTTGTATATAAATTAAACTTTAAACTGCTATTTGTTCCTCTTTAAATTTTGGCAGATAGAACAATCTAATTCTCAGGTCGCGATATGTAGACAATAGGGTGTCATTTTTGAGCAACTTTTTTTTTCAACTAAAAAACAGGCTAAAAACTTCCAGGAAGGTGAAAAAAGAAGCCTCTAAAAATTTGAGCTCTTTATAATAACATTAAGTTGTGCCTGTTCCTAACTTTCCATTTTTCATTTAAATAACATGGAATTTTTTTTTTCTTTTTTCTTGACATTTAAGCATTGTAAAAACGAACTGAAAAATTATTTTGGTAGGAAATTGAACGCTCTACAAAAAAGTACTAATTTATTTTTTCATAGAGTAAGCCGTTCTGAAGGTATTCAAACTTGCAAATGTTTGAAATTATGACTTTTATTTTATTAAACTAATACTTTTTTTATGTCTTAAAAATTATTTTAAGAAAAAATAATTATTTTCGTATAGAAAGAAAATAACACTTAAGTACATCTCAATTTTTTTTTCAATTTTATTTTATTTACTATCAAAAAAAGTTATTTGTGTTCAATAAATTTGTTCAATAATTATAATGGATTAAATAAAACAATGAATTTGTTATTGTATTGAATTTTTAATCTTTCTTAATTTTTTATAATTTTAAAGTCGATAACTCTTATAAAAGATTATATCGGTTCAGTCGGTATATTACCTTTCGAATTACACTGTGACTAGAGGCACGCTAACGTGCCGCGATTCCAAATGTTAAAGGCAACTTTAAGTTTGAATACCTTCACTCTATGAAAAAATATATTGAAACTTTTTTGTAGAGCGCTCGATTTCCTACAAAAATAATTTTTTAGTTCGTTTTTACAATGCTCAAATGTTTCCATGTTATTTAAATGGAAAATGGAAAGTTAGGAACAGGCACCACTTAATGTTAATATTAAGAGCTCAAATTCTTAGAGGTTTCTTTTTCACCTTCCTGAAAGTTTTTAGCCTGTTTTTAGTTGAATAAAAAAGTTGCTTAAAAATGAAACACCATAGTAGACAATAGTATATTATGTATGTATCAATTTTTACAAACGCCATTTTAGTTACGAGTTTTATTTGGCGAAGCTTGCGAAAATAGTGGCATCGAATGTACATTTTGGCTGTATACCATATCGTTCTATAGATTTTAAATTTTTTTACAAAAACCTATATTTAGAATATTTTTAAAATTAGACTAAAGTCTATATATCCCCTTTCTATTGTATAGTTTTGGTATCGGCTCAGTAGTTCGATACTGGCGATTTTTAATTTGAAAAAGTCCCTTTTTTTTACAAAAATCGAGGTCGAAAATTTACATATCTTTCTGGGAAAGATAGAAATAGAAAAAATAAGTACAGTTTGATTTATATGTGATGTGATATACTTAAAGGAAAAAAATAAGCTGATGTTGATAAAAGTCCATGGATAAATGGCGAAGTTATGAATTTTTCAGTGGAAGAGCAACATTCAGTTTTTCGAGAATTTTTACGTTTTTTCTTCATTTTATTGAATTATATAAAATTTAATATTGAACATTGATTTTTATTTTAAACATTAAATATTAAAATTAAATTAAATTAAACCATACATTGAAAAAATTAAAAGTTTTATTTTGTGTGTAATAAGCATAGGTTTAAAAAATGCTGGCTCCTTCTTTGTTTTTTGTTGCTTTCTTATTCCGTTTCTCGTATGAGGGACCAAATGTAATCACCCATCCTGGCTGCATCCCAGAAGCCGTGATACCGCTGCTCCATAGCCTTCATTAGCTGGTGAAAACGTTCTCCGTGCTCATCACTTACGTCACCCAGATTGGCTGGGTTATTTACGCACTCGAACTCTCTACTTTTTTTTATTCATTTTACACTTTTTATTAACTAAATAAAACCATGATCAAAATACCTTGTTAAAATATCAAAAAGTAGCAGTGAAATGTCACTGTGCCAACACGAGAAACAAAAGAATTCACGTTTGCGAAGTCATGTCAAATTTTAATTTTGAATGTTTTCGGTGAAAAAAAATACGTAAAAAACTAAAAAAAATTCCAATCATGCACTTTACTTAGGATTTCATTAAAGAAAAAATATATCACAAAATAAAGGAACAAAATAAAATAAAAATCGTCAAAAAGCTGAATTTTGGTCTTCCACTAAAAAGGTTATTCGATGTACACTAAATTGTGAGTTACTGATTAAATCGTTGTATAAACTGTTTCATAGCAAATAGTGCGATTTAACTTTTATGCTTATGCACTAAATTGTGAATTATGAAATAAATTAATGATTTGAAGTTGTATAAACCCGTCATTAATATTTAGGGGCAAAATTTTATTTTAAGGATCGGTAAGTAATATCTACAGATATAGGTATGTACTGGGTCCGACATCAGAATTGAACGGTTTTGAAAAGGCTGCTTTGGAAATACTATTGATTTGGTATATGTCAAATAGTGACAGACATACCTTATTGCCGAAGGTTGGGTGTGCAATGTCAAACTGGCCGGTTAATCAACGGATCTTTGCTGTAAATTCGTTTACCCTGACCCAGTCCTTCGTATACAAACGCAGAGACGCTTTCGTCGTGAATATAATTTTCAAGTGCGAGCTGAAGTCCCATAAAAAAATGCCATTTTGAGATGGGTAAGAGATTTTAACGAAAAAGGCAGTGTAAAATCAAAATTTGCCGCTGAAACTCGTACAGTTTGTACACAAGAAAATATTGGAAGAGTCAGAGAAGCGTTTGAGCGGCACTCGATTGCTTTACACATTTCAGACCGACGTTTGCGACGAATGTTACATCTGGATTTAAAACTCCATCCAAAAAAACCGACAGTCCAGAGGCTAAATCCCATTGATAAAGTCAATCGACTACACGAAACTTTCTGCAATAAGGAACAAGTCTGTCACTATTTGACATATATTAAATCAATTTGTAGTATTTCCATAGCAGCCACGAAACTTTCGGCAATAAGATACAAGTCTGTCACTATTTGACATATCGTGACCTTGGAATGACAAGGTTCTAAGTGTAGCTGCCCCGTTAAGCAAAAATGCCTTACCTGCAATAATTAATATTCTAGATAAGTAATTTTTGCTTAACGGCTCAACTGCACTTAGAACCTTGTCATTCCAAGGTCACGATATATCAAATCAAGAGTAGGTATTTCCATAGCAGCATTTTTAAAACCGGTCAATTCTGTTGCCGAACCCAGTACATAACCATATTTGGTAAGTTATATAGAGTTAAAATAAACTTAAACCGGTTAATTATAGTTAATAGTAAATAAAAAGGGTAAAAAATATTACTTTCTCTTTAACCAAAAGGTATATTAACCAAGAAGTTATATTTAAATAATATAAAGTTAATTTTACCATGGTAACTTATACCTACATATTTTCCCCACTTATTACAATATAACGTTAATTTAAGGTTTATTTAACGTTGTAGTACAATATTATTTTATTTATTTATTTATTTACACTATATATAGCTAGCAAAACAGTTCTTCAAAATTGGTACCGCTAAGTCTATGTTAATTTGAATTAATTCTTCCATTCTTCTATTCCATTATTTAATCCTTTTTTAATTAGCATTTACACCTTTCCATTCTAAAAAACTTTACTCCCAAATATCTTTATTTTATTTTTTTAAACCATAAATTTTGATTAATATTTGTGAATTAACCAGACATATCGTAAATTTAACGTCAATTTAACCAGTTGTGCTGCTTGGTTGTGCGAAGGTTTTTTATGCAATGAATTCAAATTCCCAAAACTTGTTATGCCATCTAAAGTGCTTCTTTTTCTCCTCAAATTTTTTCTTCTTCTAAATATCATTGCCTAAAATTTATAATCGAAAAGATGAATGCTATGATTGATTTCTCGTGAAAGTGATGAAGAAGGTCGAATTTGGTTTCAGTATTTTAAAAACCCTTCGGAAACAACCTATTCCTAATGAAACTTTCTACTAAAATTTTGTTTTATTTTTAAAATGCAGTGCTTTGATTGGTGCGATTGGTTATGCGATTATGATGATGAGGATTACGAGGATTATACTACAACTATGATGAATCCTGAGACCACGCCTGGGCCCACCCCTACGTCCACCCCTATGACCGACACTACGACCACCGCACCACCTTAATTGTTTCCTAATAAACTCTGTTAACAAAAAAAATTATAAATTAGTTCTTAAGCATTCATATTTCCCGTTTTATATATAAATAGTGAATATTTTATTTTGGAATAAATGATTTTTTTAACATTTTTCTTCCTACACCAAAACAAAAGTTGAATTTTACCGTCTCTCTAGGGCGAGAAATTAGGTATTTCAAAACAAGGCATCAAAACTTAATTAAACTAATCACAATGCAGACTTTGCATGGTTTCTTTCGCCAGGTCCTTTGTTTACCTTCTACAGAGAAGGTCTCAAGACCGTGTCGCTTTCTTGGCTTCATTATGTTTTGTCTAACTTATACACTTATTTTTTGTTTTAAAATTTCCTTTTAGCTTTAAAATGATTGCAGGATTTACAATCGCTCATTTTAATCTGTTTTTTTTTCATAGACACTAAAGTGGACTCGTAATGCCCATTTCTATGCATTTGTAAGTTTCGATATTAAAATACAATGGTGATTTTTCAGCAAATTTATATACCGTATGTTTTTCATTTTTCATTCTTATAAAGGCTTTTGCTAGTACCGTTTCCGAGCGAGCCAATAGGCGAGTAAAGTAATTCATCAAGGGAGTAAAGTTAATTTTTTTACCTGCACTGCGGCAACGTTGCAAATTTAGGGTTTTGGTTGGTAAATACAGTTGTCAAGTTGGTCGCATTGATTAAAACAAACTAAGCTAGTTATAAATCTAATTGTGGTTATGTATAAATTATTTTAGGTTACATTGTGCAGTTTTCAAGTTGAGTTGTCGAAATTCGTGGTTAAAAATGCAACTAATTTGGCTTTGGTGGTGCTTGGATGAGTAAAATCATACAAAAAAGTATTATCCTAGCGGATAATAATTTTCGCTTTGAAAAGAATTTATATAAAAGAAATTAAATTTTTTTGTGAACGTAAATATTGCCCAATGGTGAATAATGTGAAAATAATGTGTGATGTAATATTTATAAAACCAAATTCGTTACTTTTTTACTCCAAAAATGTCCATAAGGCGATGTACTTTTTCTTCCATTGTGGCATTTGGCATAATTTCATCAAAATGAAGTTTTGCCCTCAAAAGGGCTTTTACATTCGAATTCGTTGCTATTATTTTTGGCATAATTATCTTTTTATTTATAATTGACAAGTAAATTATCACCCATAATATAACAAGTGGTATGATTATCATCGATGATATTTTCGAATTGAAACCGAGCTGCAGATTGAAATGTGCTGCTTCGGTTTAAATGAGTAAATATCTTCGATTATTAATCATACCATGAGCTATATTTGGTGAGAAAATACAATGAATTTTAGGATTTAAAAAATTTTTAGATTGACATTTAAAATTAAAATGTGCTTTAAAATATAAAAAGACTTTAATAAACCGTATTTATTCAAACTTACCTTAATTTCATTATCGTTTACACCAACACATCGATATTTTAGAGTTTATAATTCATTATTTTATTGATATATATCAAACACAGAATTTAAATGGCAACAAATGTTAAATCAAGAAAAGTGTCAAAATCCTTAGTACCGTGTAAACAAGATGATAAAAAATATTGCCGCTGGGATAAAATGCGTAACTATGGAATGATGGTATTTTATTGGTTCTAATATTAATGAATTGTATTGGCAATAATAAATATTATTGTCAATTTGACAGTGTCAAAATATTTAACTAAATTCTTTAGCAGAAGTACCATTTTTAAATATTAAAAATACTAAGTCAAACTGTCCAGATAAAAAAAATTAACTGTAACTGCAAACACCATATTTTTTGTCGATTAAAGCCAATTTTAACTTTATACGATATTTTAACAAAATTAAGAAAAAACTTATCATAATGATTAATTCTTACATTTATTAACTTAAATCTGATGTTTACATAATAGTTTTTAGATTATATAATGAATTAGCCATTTCGAAACAAGCAAAAACTTTTATAAGAAATACATGTGTCTCTAAAAATGAAAAATAAAAAAATATTTCTCTTGTGCAGTGGCGGCTCGTGGGTGTATATGAGGTTAATTTTGTCTAAATACGAATAAATTTCCACGTCACCTGGGAGTTATTATTCTGCGATGCATACTAAACCATTATAAACAAAAAAAAACAAATTGCAAAACTCAAAAATATAAATTCGTTTTTTAAAACTTTAAAATATATATGTATATCTGGAACTCATTTTGCGTTGAAAAATAATTGAATTAAAGAAGATAGATGAATTTGGATGATTTATTCTGGCCATCGCTGAAATGTAAATCGATTTCTTGGAAATAAACAAGATTTAATTTCGAGATTCGGCAATTATTTACATGTTTATAGGGGTCTGTAGCATACTGATAGGAAAAGCAATTTATTTTGCGGCATTTTGCCGGTTCGATTTCGAAAACTAGGCCGAACGAAAGTTTGTAGACGAAGCACGGATTTTAATGCCCCCTATGAAACAGATTTATTATTAAATTAGGAAAAAGTTTTGACAACTTCGTTTTTTATACTGATACCGCTTTTCAACTTACAACACCTTTTCCACAAAAAAGAGTTTTAAACACAAGCCAATCGTCAATACCAATACTGATTAAGCAGTGGATATAGGTTTTTGCACGACATGGCAACGTGGTAATTTTCTTTAAAAACTGTTATTTTATAAAATAAATTGGGTAATTATCATTCAACGTTTATATTTTCCCTAAAAAAGTCGATTACTACATTGACATTTTAAATTAGACATAAAACAATTAAAATGTCATCAATATTTATTTGACATTTGTGACATTTGCCTTTAACAATAGAAAATAATTTCGCTAGTATAAGTCATGGTTTACTAGATTTGTTTTTTGGCCAATAAAATCATCTAAAATGTAAATGGGTTGATATAATTTATAGCAGTCGTTAACGACTGATTTAAAATATGGATAAAAATAGACAGTATTTTTGTTTGTAAATATATATGAAAAAATAAATTCAAAAGGTAAACATACCTATAACAAAGATATAATTAAAAAATAACAATTTTTTAAAGATAAAATTACTACCATGTTAATTATATCTAATATCTTTGCTGTTTTTAGGTTTCATTATAAAATAATTAGGTAGGTACCTACCCCTAACATTGAACTTGGGTGATTAATTTTTTTATTATTAAAACATACATACCTTGAAGGTATTACCTTCTATAAATGTTTACTTTTTAATATAATACCTAAATATTTTAAAAAAATTACTATTTAATAAATAATAAGGATTATAAAATAAAACCAAAATTGTGTTTAAAAAATATTTGTCTTATTTTTTAAATACTTTTGAAGGATTTTATATTTTGGACCAGGTTAACTTATTTTTTCTTTTAAATTTTTAAATTATGTGCTTGCTCTTCAAATAGAAAATTTACACTCTATTTTTTTTCGGCTCAGAAATATAAACAAAGAAAATGAAATTGAGGGATAAAAACATAGGTAGATGTTTCAAATTGAATATACATATTATAATATTATTAACAGATTTTGCCAGTAATACAAGTTTAAAATTAATTTTATTAGAAAATAAAAAATACCTTTAGGTAAAAACAATTTTACTTGCTCGAAAGCAAAAACAGGCACATTGTATGAAACTATTTTCAAATTGTTTTAATCATTTGTAATATTTATTTAACAAATAATTAAATGTATGCTCTAAAACAATATTTTTTTATTTTTAAAATAAAATTCACAGGGTAAAAAAATCTGGACTAGAACTGCAACAGTTAAATTATAAAATTTGCTTTATTAAAATAACAATTTTTAAAATTTGTGTACCTTTATTTTTCAATATAAATTATTAAAAAAAAAGTGTATAAGGCATGCATAAATTTTTTCATTGGGTTTAATTTAGAAAAGCAGGGATTCTTTCCCCATTTCCAGCAAGGGTGTAGCCAGGATTTTGTTCAGGGGGGCAGGCAAGGGTAAACTATATGCATGCTACAAAAAGTTTCGAGACCCCACCACCCATTTTCTAGCACAATTTTTCTGGACATGCAATTTTTGAGTATAGCTCTCTCCTTTTGACTAAAAAAGTTAATTCTGAAGCCATAATTATCTATATCAAGCATTAACTAACATATGTTATCCTCTAGAGTTGGTTTCTTATTTTTTTTATATTCTTGTCACAAATTTTAAATGTCTTTATTCCCTCTCGATGTCTTCGGTATCATTGCATTTATTTTTCGAAACCCTAAATGCCTAAAAAGGTATTATTGGTACCTTTAAAAAAATAGGTAAAAGAGCATTGCCTTTTAAAAACAGGTCTAGTATTTATAACCAACTTGGGGTTATATGCTCCGGCAGCTCTCGTGTCTGGAAGCATAGGTCTGTGGGTTTTTATTCTTCATACTTACACTTTGCTTGGGCGCCACCACAACTTTAAAGAGTACAATAACCTAAGGTTGTGGTCATTAAGTTAAACTCAAGGTTTAGTTACTTACTTTATATTTTAAATGAAAATTATATTAAATTTAAATTAATGTTAAAATCATTACCGAATAGCTATTGGTTTACACTAGACTAAAAATTGTTAAAAAATAAAATAATATTTCATAATTTACTGCAACGCAGTTTTGCGCAATAAAAAAAATTAATAAGGATAAAAAAAAACCTGTGTCCCGATTAGGGTTACTGGATGTCTGGTATACTCATTCAAAGGGCTGGATCAGGCTCCTGGATGCATGGGGCTATTCGTGCTCCATGGGTACTGTCATAAAATCGATCGTTGAGACAGCCAGGTCGACCGTTCCATCAGGAACTCCTCCATAGGATATCTCACTACAGTTTTAAGCGAAGACCAGGATAACCTCTCCAGAAAAAATATGCCCCAAGAAAAAACCCTAAATGAATAAATAATACTTCGAATAAAAAATGGGAAACCACAACAAAAAAATACTTACGGAGTTTCTCCGGTTTTTTCGATGAATTTCTAAAAATAGGACCTTCCCAGGTCGATGGAATAATTCCCAGGTACTTTAGATGGCTATTTAGCAAACTAGGAAATAGGATGACTTAGAAAAAGTTGGAATAACATTTGATTGCACTCACCACGCTGCTCGATTACGAAAAACTCAATTGTTCAGGAGACCACGGCAACCACTGTTCTATCTATTTGCGCTAACTTGGTATGATAGGCAAACAACTAGTTAATTACTAAACGAATCGTAATTACACTTTAGTTAGATTTAACAAATTATCTAACTTGAGAACCGGCCATTCGCACCTGTCTACCTGCAGAACCTCAGCGTCTACCTGTTGATTCTCCCCTCTCCCGAA